TCAATAAATGTAAATCTTATACGATGAAATACTTGAGATGCTACTGAGCCTTACCTGACCAACTTGCCCCATAATTAATCGAACAACCAGAAGTAACCCGTTCACTACTTAGGTCTCACGGTTCGATAAAGCACTAATTCAGCGGTGGTCCAAATTCCACATGATTAGGTTAGAAAACATAGGTAATTGTGCACCCCTTTCTGGGTGGGACTGTCAACACAATAGCGGCTATCCACAATACCACGGCCCGGGAATGTACCCGAGCTAACAAGTAGCGTGTACGGACGGGGACTTTTATTTGCAAATAAATATTCTCAAGCATATCAATTTAGCATTTATATTATAGTGCAAAACAGTAACAAATACAACTTAGAAACTCGACTATGCAGTTCCATAGTCCGGAGGTTTCAAAGAATTAAACATGCAAAGCTTGCTGTCATGCTTTTCCCCCATTAAAATATCAAAAACAGCAAAAGTGGGGCCGTGAACTCACAGTTTGGCGAATTTCAATTGTTTCCTTAAGAGACCAGCTATCACCTGCTCGGACTTCCTGACAGAGCAACCAATACTTAATAAGAACTTCTAAACCTCCAAAACTTAAGTTGGGTAAAAACTGCTTTAAAAGCAATCCGCCAGGTACTAATATCAATGTAGCGGATACTTTAATTATTAGCCTTAACGAATATCTCCAAAATTTCAAATAATGACATCATTTAATGCCCTTCCAAAGAAAATGATGGCAGCCGCCATCTGCTGGGATTTGAAGATTTTGGGTGGGTTTAACACCCTTCCCAAGAACAATCAAAACCTCGAGTCGCACACCTCCCCAAATCCAGTTGCATGCCCAAGAATGGCAACAATTGGGGATGGTTTTGACTCTACATTTTCAGGAATAGAGGCAGATAATACCCCATATTCTCATTTCTTGAGTAAGATCCAGAAAGGAAAAGAAAACAATTGGGAATTTTTGGGTCTCGGAAAGCCACAAGATGAAAGATTTGATTTAGAGATGCATGCAAGACCCAAGTCACCCGAAGGTGCAATCGGTCCCTAAAATGTAAGAACTCTCTTCCTCTCTTTTGGGATTAAAAAGGTTTCTGGGTCACATATTATCATCTAATGAAGACATATGCATATCTTCGATGGATAATCTCACCATCTTTAAATTCCGAAACTTGAGTTGAGCAGGAAGAGAAAATACGAATTTGAACACTTTAAAGAGGAATAGGTGACTTTAGAAGCATACCTTTTTGAGGATGAAGTAGAAAAGAACAATTCGAACACAGCAGCGATCCTAAACTTGCAGGGAGAAGAGCTCGGCTCGAAGGTGATGGATTTTTTAGAGAGGGAGAACGAGAAAGGCTAGAGCTTTTTGAATAATGAAGAGTTTAAAAGAGAAGGGGGGTATTTATATGAGACTTCTAGAAGAGTAGTGGGCTAGCCTCTAAAGGCCTAAGCCCAAGGACTTAAACAATTCTAAAAAAAATATCTAAAATAACCAAAATGTCCAAGTCTGGAACAAGACCAGCTGCCGTACTGAAATGATCAAGTATGGACAACCAGCGCCTCAGAAAAAGACAACAGAGCCTCTGCGAAGAAAATACGCCAGAGCTTCTGTGAAGAGATATAGAGCTTCTGCAAAGAGATGTCAGAGCCTCTGAGAAGAGACACACTCTCTGTGAAGAGTTGCCGGAGTCTCTGTGAAAAGACACAGTCTCTCTGAGAAGAGGCAACAGAGCCTCTGGAGATAGTACCAGAACCTCTGTGTCTGCCACCAGAGCCTCTGTGGCTATCATCAGAATCTCTATGACTGACACCAGAGCCTCTGATCGAATAGGCGACCTCTTCAAGATCATACTATGGATAAGGTTAATCCTAAAAGACTTAGTTTTCTAATGAAGATTCCAAAATAAGGTTCTAACCTGGAAATGCAAAAGTGCAGAGTTGTTACACCAGGATTGAAAAGAGACATAGCTCGATGTGTGGAACAGTGTCTGACATGTTTACAGGTTAAGATTGAACATCAGAAGCCGTATGGAAGTTTTCAATCGTTAGAGATGCCTGTATGGAAATGGGATCACATTACCATGGATTTTGTTATGAAGTTACCTCGAACTCCAAAGGGGTATGATGCAATTTGGGTAGTTGTGGATCGTTTGTCTAAATCTGCKCATTTTCTACCAATAAGAGAGAAATACTCTTTAGAAAAGCTAGCGCAGATTTACATCAAAGAAATTGTTACCAGACACGATGTTTCCTTGTCTATTATCTCTGATAGAGATAGTCGATTTACTTTAAAGTTCTGGGGAGGATTACAGAAAGCTTTGGGATCTGAAATCCGATTAAGTACAGCTTATCATCTGCAGACTGATGGGCAGAGTCAAAGAACTATTCAAACTCTCGAAGATATGTTGAGAAGTTGTATTATTGACTTCGGGGGACCATGGGAAGATCACTTGCCATTGATAGAGTTTGCATATAACAATAGTTATCATTCCAGTATCCAAGCGGCACCATATGAAGTGTTGTATGGACGTAAATGTCGAACGCCGTTATGTTGGAATGAAGTGGGTGAGAAACAGTTGACGAGTCCTGAAATTGTTCAAGAAACTTTTGAAAAGATCGAACAGATCCGTGAAAGAATAAAAACAGCACAAGATTGGCAGAAATGTTATGCAGATAATCGTCGAAAACCAATTGAGTTTAGTATAGATGATTTTGTGATGTTAAAAGTTTCGCCATGGAAGGGTGTCATCAGATTTGGAAAGAAAGGAAAGCTCAGTCCGAGATATGTGGGGCCGTTAAGAATATGTAAGCGAATTGGGCCAGTAGCATATCAGTTAGAGCTTCCAGAAGAACTGAATCTAATTCACAACATTTTTCATGTGTCGAATTTACGGAAATGTTTGGTTAATCCGAGTCTAGCTATACCGTTGCCAGAAATTCAATTAGACAGTAAGCTAAATTTTATGGAAAAACCAGAAGCTGTAATTGACCGAAAGATCAGGTTGTTGAGAAACAAAGAAATAAGTCTAGTTAAAATTCGGTGGAAGTTTCACAAAGAACCGGAAGCAACATGGGAATTGGAATCAAAGATGAGATCAGAATACCCATGGGTTTTTGATTAAAGGAATTCCGGGACGAAATTCTTTTAAGGGGTGGATAATGTGATAACCGGATCCTGGTTATCACCTAAGGTAATTAATATGTGATTATTTGATTAAATGATTTCGTGATAGCATGATAAATTGTTATATTTGATCATGCTGGTATGTGAAAATGTGCATAATATGAAATGCATATGTTATATATATATA